GGGTTGTTCTTGTTTTTACTAAATAATTTTAAAAAGTACTGTTTTCAATGACAGTAACAGCGCTTTTGGGAGAATGGCCTCGGTAGTTCGAGGGATCCGTATTTCGAGGGATACGTGAACAGTGTTATATTCTGCTGTCTCAGAGAATCAAAGGAAGTGACAAAGATGGGGTAGGTAACTGATACTGAGAGGCAACCACATTTCTCCTGCCTTTTGATCATAATTTTCTTATTTTCATGAACAATTATTCCCCCAAATTCAGAGACGTATTGAAGGCTTAAACGGTCACTTACTGACCTGTTTTTCTTTTTGGGATTATCAAATGGGGTGGGGGAGATGAGGAGGTTGGAAAGGGAGTATGAAATACACTCTGAGCCCAAAATTATTTATTATAAAAAAAAAAAAAATTGCAGCATCGGTTCTTTGTACTCAAGAAATATTTCATCGAAACGTAGAAAATCTAAATGTTGATAATAGGACGAGGAAAAGAATACATTGAAAATTATATGTAGGAAAAGTAAGTTCTAAAGGATTGATTTTCTTTCTCCTGTAACTGTAACGTTTTGCTTTCTTGGTTATCCGTTCCATAAAATGACTCAAAAGAATCGATCGTCAAGTCATTGTGGAAGCCTCACTTGTTTACAGTGGCGTCTAAGAAGACGGACTTTCCCAAGATTAGATCTAAACGAAACTAATGAAAAACTGAAACTGTAACAGTGACTTCAGGCTCCTTAATAAAACTGTGCACCCTTTAAATTACATGTATTCTGAACCACCGTTAATTTGTTCAAATTGGAAAGTTAAGTGATTCGGAAGTTTTAGGTGACCAAAGTGAAGCTTTCACAAGGAATCTAATATATATTCTATACACAAGAGTATAACAGCACATAGATGGAGATCTGTTAAGACTGTACGCTGTACATTCCAGCTCGCAATTTAAGGTCATCAGCTGGGAATTTTTAAAAATAATTTTACCATCTATTATCTATAAAACTTAAAACTACGGGTGAAATGGCATTTGAATACCAAGGCCCCAAGATCTGGAATGCTTTACCAAGTACTTTAAGAGAGATCAAATCTTTTGATTCATTCAAATGTCATCTGAAGTGATCGTTTCTGTTTTTAAATTAATAAGATGCATATTATTTGGATTGATTTTCTTTCAGTCAGAACACAACGTGTTAAGTTACTGTTGTACGTTGTACTGTATTGTAAAGAGCTCAGAGCCTGTGTACTTTAATCGGGGTTGAGCGCTATATAAATGTCACTTATTATAATATTATTATTA